GTGGCCACACAAACTGTGAAGTCCCGCGGGGGCCCCCCACTTGCTTTAATGACCTGCGGTCGCCATCTTGAGATTCTCAAAAGTTCTTAAGAATTGTTAAGGGCCTCTCGTTTTCATTTTGCGCCTGGGGTCCTGCCACCCCCTCGTCCAGACCCTCCTCCACAAAGAGAACCACTGTGCCCACCTCTGGTCTTCAGGAAGGCGTTGCTAGAACTCCAGGCCAGAAGGGGCTGTGCCCACTAGCTCACCAGTAGCCTTCAATATTATTTTAATGACCCGCCTCCTAGTTTAACCGTCCTCCCTCTAGGGAATAGCAAAGCGGGGGTGGGGGGGTGAGAAGTCTGGAGACTCTCAAAGTTGGCTACATCTCAGACTCACCAGGAAAATGGATTGGAAGAGTGGCCTCTGTGGCCCCACCATTCCCAGGGTTCCTGATGATTCTGGTGCAGGGAGGTAATATCCGAGTCCCCATGGGGCCAGGTGCCATCTGGCCGGCCCATACCCTTCTCTTCTGCCACCCCCTCCCCACCCCAGGGCCTGGGCACCTCCCTTTTCTTCTCCCAGGAACGCTCTCTCCCTGGATCTTTAGCTTAAATGTCACCTCCTGAGGCCCACATCTAAAGCAGGTCCCCAGCCCCCATCCCTCTCCATCACCTGAGTTGGTTAACTGATCCCAACACACAGCTCCCTTATTTAGGTTTCCCCATCTGTCTCCCCGACTAGGACGGGAGCCACGTGACAGCCAAGACTTCAGTGTCCTGCCACTGCGGGGGGGGCCTTGGCTGCCTCGCCCGGGGCCTGGCACATGGTAGTTGCTCAGTAAACATCAGCTGCATGTACGAACGAACGAGTCTGTGTTTTCCACAAGAGCCTTGGTGATTTGCAGGTGTCTGGGCATCAGAGACCTGGATGGGTCCCTGCTGGAGTGCTCTCTGCATCCCATCAGCCTTTGCTTGCACACCCCCGGCGTTGGGGAGGCTCATCCCCTTTTGCAACAGCGCTAACAGTTGGCAAGACTGACCACCTTGAGATGCTGAGCCTGCGTCCCCATAGCTTCCAGCGATTGGCCCTTATTCGACCCACACACCCCTCCGAACGGCCCTAATTCCTCCATCAAACCACGGCCCCTCAAAAGCCTCAGGACTTCATTCAGGCTGCACCTCTCCCAGCCCTTCAACAAGCCCCATTTCGTAGTTTCACTTCCGCTTAGAGAGGACCAGGATTTAATCGAAGTAGATCCCTCTTCTGGAGTAGCTACCTCCCATATCTCCCATTTATTACTTTTGACATAGGCTTCTTCTCCAAAACGTTCCACCATGAACTTGGATTCCTTCCATAATCAGAGAGAAGAGCATTTAAGAAGACACGCTATTCAAAGCGACAGTCACTTAGGAGAACGCTCCCTCCTCCTGCATCACCTCCCCGCCCCCCAAATAAAAACAAATGTCTTTGAGGCCTAGAAAGAGAGTCGGTACTGAGGAGTGGAAGTCACCAAAAAGGCAGAGAGCTCTCTTCGCGATGCTTGTGGAGAAAAGCAAATGTATGTCCTCATTCGTGAGGGCCACTTGGGGGGGGGGGGTTCACAGGCCCTGGGGGACCTATTTTGTGACAAACCTAAGCCAGCCCAAACAGTCGGACCCATGCTTCGGGAAGAGAGGGAACTTCCAATGGGGGTGCCTTCAATTTTGGAATTTTCAGCACCAAGTCCTGGCTGTGCTGTTGAGAGAAGCATATTGATCAGAAGAGGGTTGGGTAGGGGTGCCTGGGTGGCTCAGTGGGTTAAGCATCTGACTCTTGGTTTCGGCTCAGGTCAGGTCATGATCTCAAGGTCTGTGAGTTTGAGCCCCACATTGGGTTCTACGCTGACAGAGCAAAGCCTGCTTGGGATTGTCTCTCTCTCCTGTCTCTGCCCCTCCCTCAAGCTTGCTCTCTCTCTCTCTCTCTCTCTCAAAATAAATAAATAAACTTAAAAAAAAAGAACAGGATCGGGTATAAATTCAAAAATCTCTTTCTAGTCATGTGGAAATTGTTCCCGCACATGGGACTAAGACCTCAGTTCCCAGAAAGCCTGAAGGCCTCTGTGCAAAGACCTTGGGGTGAGTCAGGTTTGAAGGTTGTACAGTGATCCTCCCGGGGGAGCCGCGAGCCTCTAGGATCATCCAAGGAGACTCCTAGGGTGGCAATGGGAAAGGACTCTGGAAAACAACCCGTCCCCACCCAGGCCATCTTCTGGTGCTTTTTAGAAAGTTTTCAAGCAGCAAGCCTCAGCTTTGGTCAACATACTCAGAGAAGCAACTGGAATGATGGCTTGTCAGGCAGGAGACACCGTCTCTCAGCAGGAGCTGTGGCCCCTGTGGGAACAGCTGCCCAACGCCCCTCTGGCCTCCCTCTGGGGATCCCCTTTGGGCAAACCCAAGCAGAAGCCAGGGGGGAGAGGGACGCCTGGGTGGCTCAGTCCGTTAGGCATCTGATTCTTGATTTCGGTTCAGATCGTGGATCTCACCGTCATGAGATCGAGCCCCGCGTTGAGCTGGGCTCTGTGCTGGGCGTGGGACCTGCTTGGGATTCTCTCTCTCCTTCTCCTTCTGCCCCTCTCCTGCTTGTGCTCTCTCTCTCTCTCAAAAAGAAAATTTGTTTTAATTAATAAAAACGAAGTCAGAGGGAAGAGAGCCATAGATGCTCCCTATAGGTCAGCCCCCCAGAACACAGGGCAGGTGGGGGAGGATGGAGGAGAACGAATATAGAGGAGCAGACAGAAGACCCCCCACGCTATTCTAGCCCCGTCCCCAGCACAGTGCCTACCATGTGGCTGGAGCTCAACAGACGTTCGATGAGTGAGTGAGCGAGCGAGCGAGCGAGCGATGCTTGGCGTAGCCTCACCTCGTTACCTTGCATTTCTCCGCCTTTGGATTTTTGTGCACGCTAGTCTCTTCCCCTAAAATGCCTTCTGCTTCCTCTCTGACTCAGACTCCGTCCTTCCCAGCCCAGCTCAGACTCAGCTGAGACCCTGTAGGCCCACTGAAAGAAGCCAGACACAAAAGACTACATACTGCATGGCTTCGTTTGCATACAATTTTACAAAACGCAAAGTCATCCGTAGGGACAGAAAGCAGAGCAGTGGTTGCGGGGGGTGGGGGGGCAGTCGGGGAGGGGCGGCTTGGTAAGAAGCGTCATAAAAGGACGTGTGGTCGCTTTAAAGGCCGACGGCCGTGCTCAGTCTCTTGATCGCGGTGACGGTGTATACAGGTGGGTGCATGTGTCCAAACGCATCAGATCGTACGCTTTAAATATGTGCAGTTCAGGGGCGCCTGGGTGGCGCAGTCGGTTAAGCGTCCGACTTCAGCCAGGTCACCATCTCGCGGTCCGTGAGTTCGAGCCCCGCGTCGGGCTCTGGGCTGACGGCTCAGAGCCTGGAGCCTGTTTCCGATTCTGTGTCTCCCTCTCTCTCTCTGCCCCTCCCTCGTTCATGCTCTGTCTCTCTCGGTCCCAAAAATGAATAAACATTGAAAAAAAAATAAAAAAAGAAAAAAAAATAAATATGTGCAGTTCATTACACACCAATTGTATTTAAATAAAACTAGACCCAAAAAAATCCGCCCCCCCCCCCGCCAAAATCTTCAGATTCCCCACCTCCTGGTGATGCCTGGTCCCTGGCTCTCTCTGCCCGGCATGCATTCATTCCCCAGCTATTTATCGAGCATCCACTAGGAGCCACGCAGTGGGGCTGGATGCTGAGACCAGCCCCAGCCCTCAAGGAGCTCAGAGCCCTGTGGGGAAATCCACAGGGGGTCTGGGGAGTAGGAAGGTTTCCTGGAGGAACCGTGGCTGAGAGCCGACCTGAAAGGCAAGAGGAGCAGGGGGAAGTCGGGGAGGAAAGACAGTTAAGAGGAAAGAAACAGGCTCAGAAAGGGACGGAGTGTGTTGGCGAATCCAGTCAAAGCTCAGGATGGCTGGACTGTAGGGAGGGAGGAGGCAAGAGAGGAAGTAAGTGGAGGGGGGGGCGGCTGGAGGGGGGGCAGGGAGACAGGGGGTTGGAAACCAGCTAAGACACTGCAATTTGTTCTGGCAGCAATGGAGAAGCACCCGGAAGCTTTCAAGCATGGGAGCCACCTGGTCCGTTGTGTTCTACAGCAAAATCACTCTGCTAGGGGTTGGGGTGGGGGGGCGGGGCCGTGGGAATGAATTGGAAGAGGAGGGGTGGGAGCCTTGTGTCCAGGCAGGTCACAGGCAGGTGAGAGACTGGGCGGGATTCGGGAGGGGTTGCGGGGAGCAGGAGAGAAGGAGCCCGTGTGGTTTCTGGCTTGGGCGGCTGGGAGGACAGCGGTACCCGGAAGGGGCAGCAGGTCAGGGAGGGAGAAGGTGACCGGTTAGTGCCGATCACGCTGAGGGGTCTGTAGCCACCCCCACCGCGGGGAGTCTGTTCAGCGGGCGGCTGGGTAGACGAAGCTGACGCCCCGGAGCCGGGTCTCCGAGCCCTTCTCCTCGAGCTGCGAGACCCTTGAAGAGACTATGAGATCCCTGAGGATCTTTGCATCGTCCCCAGCAAGCCACCGGCGAGGCCTCACAGATCTTTGTCTCCTAACGGATGTTTGTCGATTGGCCCATTGCTGATTTCTCTCTCCAGGCGGAAGCTCAGTCTCAAGGGACATCTACTTCTTTGGTGGTGGGGTATCATCGCCTCCATCCAAGCCTCAGGTGCGAACAGTGTATGGAAAGCAGCGCTAAATTCCCATGGGCCCATTCCGCCAAGCCCTCCCATGACTCCCCCACTGGGCTCCATTCCTGGAGAAGAGGCCCTCAGGAGGGAATAGAACTCCATGCCTGCCATATATTTAATTTTTTTTTTAATGTTTCTTTATTTTTGACAAAGAGAGAGAGAGACAGAGCATGAGCAGGGGAGGGGCAGAGAGAGAGGGAGACCCAGAATCTGAAGCAGGCTCCAGGCTCCAAGCTGTCAGCACAGAGCCCGACGCGGGGCTCGAACCCACGAGCTGTGAGATCATGACCTCAGCCGAAGTCGGACGCTCAACCGACTGAGCCACCCAGGCGCCCCAATGCCTGCCACATATTAATCATTACATCTCGGAGAGCCCCGACATTGTGCTCCAGGAAGCTCTGGCCAACGTCCCCAAGGCTGGGGACACATAATTCCCAATTCAAAGATTGAGACATGCAAGAGAGAGGCTCAGAACTCTCCCAAGGCCACACAGCAAATCCAAATGCAGAACCAGGCCTCCGGATGCAGAGGGTGTCTTGTCCCCAACACGGGCTCATCTTCCCTGTCTACACTCTCCAAAGTTGGCCTCTGAGGACCCTGAGGGTCTCAGATTAGAAAAGCCATGAGGACTGCAGAAGGGGTAAAGTGACTTGCCCACACCCTCACAGCTAGGGAGGGGCAGGGAGCTTTTTCACTGGAGCGGAAACTGGAACCCTCCTCGCCTCCACTTCTAAACTTCTCCAGGGAACACGTACAATCAGCAGTCACTCTATTTATCTACACTGATGAGCTCGGTCACGGCAAACCCTTCCTTCCGGGGGGCATTTCATATCTTTTACTGGTTTCATATTTAATCTTCTCCAACTGAACTCCTGGGGCCAGAACTGAGTCTGATTCATCTTCCTGCTCCCCAACCCCTCACAAAGTGCCCTGATGGGGGAGGAGTCTCGACAGTAAGCGTCTGACCCCTCGACGAGGCGGAGAGGAGACATCGCTGGCGGAAGGGAGACACAAACCATTGACTGAATAATGCCCATGGCCCGGGAGGCCCTCTGGAAATCTGGATTTCTACCCCGGCCCTTTTTGCTACCACGTGGGAGATACCAAAACAGCCATCTGTCCCAGGCCTCAGATGTCTATAAAGTGGTAGTGATGATATAATGAAGGACTTGAGGCCTAGGCAATCAGAATTCACACGGAAAGCATCGCATCTCATCGAGGAAGGGGGCGGGGCACGCTGCTCCCTTGTCCTCCCTCCTCTCGAACTTCGTGGAGATCAGAGACCAGAAAAGGGCCGCTGCTATCCACCGTGGAGAAAGACCGGCTCAAAGAAACACACCCCGGTCAAGTCCATGCAGGGCTGGGGTAGCCGACCCACTGGATCCACCTCACAGACCGGTGCCCAGAGAGGTAGAGGGACTCCCTCAAGCTCACGCAGCAAGAGAGTGGCAGCGTTTGGCAACATGAGGTCCACCAGACAAAAGCGTCCCTGCTGGGAGAGTGTCTTGCTGAGTTAGCCTCAGACAGCTCCAGATTCCATCTTGGCTTTGCAAGTGAGACGTTGTAACATCCAGGAAAAGTGGCCCAGCATCTCCGCACCTCAGTTTCCTCATCTGTGCGGTGGGTAGAATGGTAGCACCTACCTCAAAGACGCGTGGTCCCCAGGACATGCAATCATCAGCTGAGCTGTGGTGGCTGCTGTTTACTTTCCAAAAGACCCCCAAGAGGTAGAAATGACTCGCATTGAATCAGAGCTGGCTGGGAGACCTTTCGGACCACAGAACTTCTGATGCCCTCAGAGCTCCGATCCGGTGCCGGACCACCTGGTCACCCGTGCCCCGCCCCACCTGCAGATTCCACAGGGACATGGTCCGTAGAGACCTGTGTGCAACAGCTGGGTCACCTCCTTCCAGAGAGAGCCCCGACGGCATCTTTAAAAACGAAGACCTTCTCGGATCTGGTTTCATGAGGCCTCAAAAATCCTGAAGCTTCCCAGAGAGAAGGAGAGAGGCAAAGAGACCCCAAGACATTTCCACAACACTTGCATGCCAGGAGAGCCCTCCAGAGAAGCCCGTGTGGCTACTGGACCCTGGGGATCTGACCAGCTGGGGCTACCGATTGGCTCAGGAGGGAGTGGGCTGGGCCTGCCCGGGTGTGGGTGCACACACACACACACACACACCCCACAGTAGGGGCCTCTAGTGCAGGGGCTTGGGTCTCAGGGCCTTAATCCCAGGCACCGGAATGGGGGCTTTCTCCCAACCATAGGACGTAAGGCAGGGTTTCTCCACTTTTACACTACTGAGATGTAGGGTAATTCTGGGGTTGGAAGAAATGGTCCTGTGCACGGGAGGACGTTTAACAGCATCCCTGATCTACCTGTTCCATGCCCGTAGCACGCTGCACTTGGTCGGGTCAGCCGACATGTCCCCAGATACTGCCGTATGTCCCTTGGGAGACAAAATCACCCCTGACCGAGAACCACCGATGTAAAGGGGGCTTCCCAGAAGGGGAGGGAGGAACAGAGCCCCCGGTTACCAGTGGTGGGTAGAAGGGGAGACAAAGGGGAAGAAGCGTAGACACACCCACTGGCCTTAGAACGGAATCTTGTCCAGGTAACAGAGCTCACACTCTGCGCCTTTATTCTGAGGGATCCCTCCTTCTTATTTTTCTTAATAAGGGCATGATTCTATTATGTAAATACTTATTGATTGCTTTTTGGAGACAAGGCACTTCCACACATGCATTTCAAAAACGATTCAAGAAATTTGTGCTGCTCGTATTATTACTACATATTTCATCCCTGATCATGAATAGCAGCCGTCGTTAATTGGGCACTTACCTTGGACCAGGCACTGTAGTAAGCACTTTACATTTATCATCTCATTTAATCCCCACAACTCCTGGAGCTGAGTCGTTGCTTTTATCAGTGTTCTTTCTCCCGGTTTGCAAATGAAGACAGTGAGCCGCCTAAAACAAAAGCACTCAAGCTGGTATAGCTTTGGGGGAGGGAGGGAAGGAAGGAAGGAAGGAAGAAGGAAGGAAGAATGAAAGACGAAGGAAGGAAGAAGGGAGGGAGGGAGGAAGGAGGGAAGGAAGGAAGGAAGGAAGGAAGGAAGGAAGGAAGGAAGGAAGGACAGCCCAACAGTCCATACCTCTTCTTCCTTTGATGTTCGGTAGTAATGTGTAGACGCTGTGTGCAAATTCGAGTTGATGGTGGGTCTCCCTTGCCAGGCCGTGAGGCAGTTTGGGAGCTGGGGTGGGGGTGGGGTGCTCCTCATTCACAGAGGCAACTTCAGCCTCTGGCACAGGGGTTGGCACAGAGTAGGTGACCAATACAGGTTTACCGAGTGAGCCAACGAAAGGAGGCACTTTGCACACGTCTAATTTACCCTCATAGACACCACCTCCCAAACCCAGCACAGGCTCTGTCCCATAGTAGGCTCTCTCGGTATTACTGTATTTTGCTCAAAGAGGACAGGACAGGTTCTGGAATCCTGAGGCTTCCCAGGGCTTGAGGCAAGTCTGGCAGACCTGGCTCCAGATCAGTAGTTGTGTTTTTTCCCCCCAATGTTTTATCTGTTTTTGAGAGAGAGAGAAGCACAGAGTGTGAACGGGGGGTGGGGGTGGTGCAGAGAGAAAGGGAGACACAGAATCCAGAGCAGGCTCCAGGCTGTCAGCACAGAGCCCGACACGGGGCTCGAACCCACCGACTGCAAGATCATGACCAGAGCCGAAGTCAGACGCTTAACCAACTGAGCCACCCAGGCGCCCCTCTAGATCAGTAGTTCTTAAGTGGCAGTGATTTTGCACCCCAGGGCACAGTTGGCGATATCTAGAGACCCTTGGGGCTGTCATACTCCTGGCATTTAGGAGGAAAGGCAGAGGAGGCCGCCTAGCATCCTTCTATGCACAGGACAGCCCCCCACGACAAAGATGTATCCAGCCCAAGATGTCAATAGCGCCTGCTCTATTATAATCAAGCCCGCTCTACATGGACATATTAGCAGATGAATTGTAATCAGGGATTGTACAGATATCTAGGGACAGACACTCTGGGGTCACCTAGCTGTTCATTCATTCATTCAGAACACCTGTACCCAAACCATCTGATGTAAGGAAATCGCAAGAAGGGGTGGGTGCGGAAGAGACAGATAAATACGGCTCAGTCGCGCTCTGCCAAGCTTACCAGCTCCTGGGGTTTCTGCTAACGACAAGCAACACCGGAGTGCCGGATAGGAAATGAGTGGTGAGTGAGCCAAAGAGAGGAGAACTCAAGGAGAGGGAGGAGGCACACCACCTTGGCGTTGCTCAGGGGGAGGGAGGCTCTGTCCCACTTCAATTTCATCCCGCGATCTTTCCAACTGTGTGTCGACGAGATGCACCAACGGGGGGAACCACGTGGAGAGAAATGTCTCCTCTCGTCCCAAGTCACATCTGTGTGTTTACTTTACAGAGGATTTTCTTGGACAGCTCATATTACATTGTGAAGTTTGTTTATATTTTACACACACACATACACACACACACACAAAGAAAGCCCATTAGCACTGGGGCCAGAAATTCAGTCCGAGTCTTCAGATCCAGGTACAAATCTGGGCAATGGGCTCTGACACCAGCCGTGTGACTTCCCTTCCCTTAGTATCTCCACCTGCGAAACGGGGTCTGCCTCCTAGTGCCATTCAGAGCATTCGAAAACATGATGTGCTTACGTGGATCATCTGGATCACCACACTGCAGAGCACAGTATCTGGCCCCTGAAAAGACTTGATGACTTTTTTTTAAGGCGTACAGATTAGGGAGTGCTCATTAACCTAACAAAGGGATTCACCAAGAGAATTATCTTAACGGCACATTCCAGTAGGGCATTTAACACCTGGTGCCATCGACCATCGTGGGTTGGAGAGATGTCTCTGTAGAACATTCTGTTACATAAAGGATGGTTCCCCTGAAGGGTGAAACTGACCACAGTGGCCCAGATAAGGTCTCTGGGAACCAGCGCCATCTGAAACCGGGTCAGCCCCAGCAACAGGATTGGCTATAAGAAGGCCCTTTAATGACTCCAAGCAGGTCGCCTTCCTACTCTGATCCATTCTAGGGCCCAAGAATAATGCTCAAAGAGACACGTTTCTTTATAAAGAGAAAAAAAAAAAAGCTCCAAATAAGACCCATTGACAGCAGCTAACTACTAGAGATGCTGTCCCACGTGCTGGACAGGTTCCCAAACATCATCTCCCCAAATGCCAAATGAGGCAGGCTTACAATTACTGCCCATTTTATAGATAAGAAGACTGAGACTCGGAGAGGCCGAGAGTTCCTTCCTGCCGTGACTGAGCTGGTCAGCGCTGCAGCTAAAACTCTAAGCCAGGCCCTCTAATTTCCGAGCCCTCTTCTACCTTGACAGATAAGAGAAGAGCTCTTGAAGGAGAAAAGGAGCTCTTAGAAAGGTGAGTCTCATCTTTTTCCCTTGGCACTCAGTCTGTTTGCATCTATGTCTCTCCCACTCGCAACCCTGCTCCCTTTTCCCTCTCCTATACCAAACTCCAACACAAATAAAACAGACTAGAGCAATCCCTCATGGCCACTCTACAGGATAGGTATACTATTTTTATCTCTAGTCCACAGGTGAGGAAACTGAGGAACAGAGAGGCCCAGTGACTTGCCCCCTGTCACGCAACTCCACTTGGTGAACAATGGAGCCAGATTCCAGGCCAGGAGAATTGGGCTCCAGAGTTTGAAACTGTTAATACCACACTGTATTACTTCTTTCACAAGTAGGACTGGCTAGATTTTTCAAGAAAGGTTTTGCAATTTAGATATCTTCCCGATTTGCTGTGCTTTTCCATTGCCACCCTTTTGTCTGTAACCAAGAGAAGGTTCCAGGTCCGACAAGAACAAATAAAAATCACTCTCTGAGGCATGAACCTGATTTGCCACCCCAATGTGATTCCTGCATCTGGTTTTCAGAATCCACCTAAAGACTATGCCCTCTTGGGGTCTTTGGCAAACTTTTCTTTCTTCCCTTCTCCATGCTGGGAACCCACCAGGCAGCTGCTCTGTTTGTGGAGCCCAGAAGATAGGCAAATGCAGTTCAGTCTCTCCTCGGCTTTGAGCCCATCCCCATTCACTTCTGTACCACGTGGTTCATCTGTGTATTCAGTTACTTTTCATTCAGTAGACACACGCATACTGAACAGCTCTATTCCAGGTACTGGGCTAGGCACTGGGGATTCAACAGTGAACGAGACAAACACAGTCTCTGCCCTCAAGGAGCTTTTATTTTATGAAGAAACACAGACAAGGTGCACCTAAACAGACAAGTAGGATAATTCTAGATATTGGTAAAGGGCTACAAAGAAAATTGACAGAGGGGTAGACTAGAGAGTGACCGAGGACAGAGTGCTTAGCGAAGGTGGCCAGGAAAGACTTCTCTGAGGACTTAACGTTTGAGCTGAGACCTAAGGGACAGAAGGGAGCCAATCTCCTAAGGATCTGAGGGCAGAGGGGCAAGCCAAGTGCAAAAGGTCTGGAGGTGAGAAAACCTAGAAGTGTGTGAGGCACAGCAGGGGGGCCAATGAAGGGGGAGCATGCTACAGAGATGGGCGGGGGCCAATCACAAAGGGCCCTGCAGAGCAGGGTGGGAAGTATGGATTTTATTCCAAGTGCACTGGGGAGCCGTGGGAGGGTTAAAAACAGAAGAATGACAAGATCTGATTTATGATTTTAAGATATAATTTGAGTTATCGTGTAGAGAATAGATTGCAGAGGAGGGCAAAGATAGGAGAAATAGGGAGACCAGTCAGGAGGCTACTTTTATAAAATAGATGAGATGATGGCGGCTTAGACTAGGGTAATAATGGAGAAGAAGATGAGAAGTAGATGGGTTGGAATATATTTTGGAGGCAGAGCTAACTGCATTTGCTGATGGATTGGATACATGGCAGGAGAGAAAGGGGGAGGTAAGGATGACTCTTAGGTGTGACTCCTGAGAGATGGCCCAGGACCTTTTTCACATTCTGCAAATACCCACCTAACCCACATGAATGGGAGGCTCCTCCGTCCTCTCTGTTCTTTTTTTTTTTTTTTTAATTTTTTTTCAACGTTTATTTATTTTTTTGGGGACAGAGAGAGACAGAGCATGAACGGGGGAGGGGCAGAGAGAGAGGGAGACACAGAATCGGAAACAGGCTCCAGGCTCTGAGCCATCAGCCCAGAGCCTGACGCGGGACTCGAACTCACGGACCGCGAGTTCGTGACCTGGCTGAAGTCGGACGCTTAACCGACTGCACCACCCAGGCGCCCCCGTCCTCTCCATTCTTATGTCTTGCTTTCAGATTTAGAGTTTAAGCCAACTTCCAAATACAGACCAAAGGCCATGATGGCTGGGCAACCCAAAGGGATTGTGGCAGTGTGGTCACTGATATAACCACCAGTATAACCATCAGTGTGATCCCCAGAAAAGCATGGGGTATGAGAGTAAGGACAGGCTCCAGAACCAATGAAACCTAGGTTAGAATCATTATATAACCATAAGGAACTTCATGAACATCTCTGAGCCTCAATTTCCTCATCTGTAACATGGAGCCATGATAAATATCTACCATCTTTCAGAATCTCAGTGAAGATTAGGAATCAAATGCACATAATGGTCACTCAATAAATGGCTTTTTTTTTTCATTTCTCCTTTACTCACTCAAGGTCAGGGTTTCTGTCCTGCATTCTTCTAAGAGGTTGAAAGGTATATGATCCAGAAGGATGATGGCTTTCGCCTTAATGAAATATCTCAGGTTGTTTTAACAGTCAGCGTTTGGCGGAATGGGGGTTCATTACCTCAACCCAAAGATTCAGCCTCCTATTACAAATGACCCCCCGTTTAAGAATTCTGGTTCCTCTGCCTTTAGGGGCAAATTAGCTCTAGAATGCCCAGGTGGGGAGCCAGAGTGAATCTATTCCATTGAATTCACAGGGACCTCTCTCCAGATGCATTGACAATGCTAACAACTGGGCTTAGCTGACACCCCTGTGGTGGGGAGGATTGGAGGGTTCAGAGAAGACCATAAGAAGTGGCCCCAGGGTATCTGGGCTCTCTGGGAAGCAGTGTATCTATGAGATGCCAGAAGGAACGTGTACGGATCTGTGTGCATTAAAAATGGGTGGGCGCCTCCCCTCCGGAGGAAGTATGTGATTTTTTTCCTCCCCTGCCCAAACTTCTTCAGACAAGTACTGCATACAAATTTGAGCAGAGGAATCGATGCTTGGTTATACACCATGCCAGGCATCTAGATAACACAGTGCACATTTAGAAAATGAAACACCAGATTAACCCTTTTGTACCCAAACTTTCGAAAGGAATCATTTCCATCTTGATAATCCTAGAGATTGTTACCTTTTCAGATCTCATCTCAGCCTCAAAGGGTTAAGTCAACTTAATGTCCATGCTGTGACCCTCACAAGCCATCTATTGACTTGTAGGCAAATGCCTTAGTCTGTTCACTTTCATATTTGACTGCCAATCCTCTCCAGCTCTTATATTTTTGAACCCAAAAGTTAAGATGCCAAGGATATGATTTTCCTGAAACTAAAATATCTAAACCCCTCGCCTCTTCTTCAGAATAAATCAAGAGGCAGATTCATGGCCTCCGCTATTGCCCAGTTCTATTGTTTTAAGCATGAGTTTCCACTTCGTTGGGGTTAGCGATACCTACTTGTATCTATTTAAGAGTACACTTAAAATACACCTTTCTTACATCGTTTATTTGGGAAGAAAGGAGAGGACACCATATTTAGTCAGTTGTTTTGTTCTTTGATAGATATACCTGTGTACAGGACGCGGGTGCTAAGGAAAGACAAAGCGGGGGAAACAAACGCAGGAGAGGGCGAAAATCACAGGGTAAAGGGAAGGTGGAAGGAGGGAGTGAAGGAGGAGAGGGCAGGTTACAGGAGCCCGTTTGCCCCCTTGGCGGCGCGGCAGGTTCAGCACCGCGGACAGCTCCCGTCTTTGTCTTGGTCCAAACTCCGGGCCCGCGCTTAGCGAGGTAGCGACCGCTGGTGCACCTGCTGCCTTCTCCACCAAACCTGCTTCGGAGAGAGAGAGGGAGCGTGGGGGAGAGGGAGGGATTTTCCTATCCCCTCCCCGTATCTTCCGAACTCGGCCCTGATGCCATCCCACCATATCACGGCGGCTGATATTAACTTGGCTTCGCCAGGAACCTCGCTTCTGTCTACATGGTGTTGGGGGCTGGGGTGTCTCCGTGGTGAGTTCAAATTGGGTTTGGAATTCGTTTTGCTGTCACTGTCCCAGGTCCTAGACCCCCACATCTGTCCCCAGACAACGCCTAGCCTTTGACTAAAAAAAAAGAAAGAAAGAAAGAAAAGGCGGCGATGTCGAACGGTTCGCTGATGCGCGTCCCGAGCTGTGGACACACAAGGACGCCCAGACCAGCTGAGCTTGGCCCAAGACCCACAGCATCAAATCCAGGAAAACCACCACTGGGAGACAGGAGCCAGAAAGATGAGAAAGGGTTTCTTCTGATTCAACCTAAGCCTGGCAGAAAGCAATGGATTATGTTGTGTTCAGAAACTATACATCCCACCACACGAAATCAGCCTCGTTTTTCTCCCTTTCGCCAAAGAAAGAATCTGGCTCTGAGTTCAACAAGCATCACCCACAGAGGCTGCTCAAAATACTTTTTTTTTTCTGGGCCCTTTCGTAGGATCCAGGATAAAAAGAACTCCTCATGTTCTCCTCTGCCTCAAACCTTGCTTCCCGGAGGGAGTAGGAGATGCCGTGCATGCGAAACTCATTCTCCAAATCCTAACACACACACACACACACACACACACACACACACACACAGAATGTAGCCTAGGGTCACTAAAGTTCTGCGCTTTTGCCAAGCTTCAGAGAAGTCGACCAGCCAAGCCACCATTTGTTCTCATAGAATTTGTTCCCCAAGTGGAGCCCTAGGGTGGGGGTAGAGACGAGGAAAGTTTAAGAATGAGCCTCCTGCACAAGGAGGACTTCCTTTGGCAGTCCGCAAATATGTTAGGAGGAAAGAAAGTGGACCCTTGCAGATCTGAAGCTTAGGGCCCCCACACCAGCGTCTGGAGCACAGAGATATCACCACAAACCAACCAGCCAGAAGACCCCGAGCCCAGTCCAGCCACTGTAGACGGATTGGAATTCACCTCCAAAATAAGATGCTTCACCATCCCCTTCAGGGGGAAAAAAAAATTCCTGGATTTTTTTTTTTAAACAGCATTCTGTCCCTCCCCTCCTCCTCCCCCCAAGAAACCTGGAGGAGAAAGGCCACCGCGCACCGTTGGGCAGCTCAAAGGAGTTTTAGAGAAAGCGCATCCCCGCTGAGGTCCCCGTGGAGCAGAAGGGCGCTCAGCGGGGTAAACATACTCGCCTTGGGAGGAAGGAGGGGGGGGGTCGCTTTCCCTGGGCCCCTCCCCCCTCCCGAGATCCGACGCCTGGGGCGGGGGTTGGGGGGAGGACGCCCCCCACCCCGCCCGCTCCGGTGCGTCGTTCAGCCCGGCTGCGGTGTAAACCGCCGCTTTCCGATGCAGATTTCCCTTTTAACACCTTCTAAACAAAGGCTAATGAGGCCACTGCTTTACTCTATCAACACACAATCATTAGCAGCCGAGAAATACACGCGCGCGCGCACGCACACACACAGCGCGAGGCTGCCAAAGTCGGGCGTATTCTAAAGGAACCCATATGAGGCTAACAAAAAGGAGGTGGGGTAGGGAGGGGCGGGGAGAGGAGGTGGGATAGAACGGGGAGAGAAGGGCGGGAGGGATGTTATGGAGACCGCGAGAAAAAGACCAAGAGGAAAGAAAGAGGCAGCAAGATCCGGGCTCAAACGCAGACTCGCTGGTTCAAGGGTAACCAGAAAGTGTAGGGGGTCCTAAATCGGAAGGTTAGAGTCCCCAGAAAGCTCTCTGGTTTGTGCTCCAGAGATGGCGGAGGGCTGCAGGCACCTCCTTCCAAACGGCTCCCTCAGTCCCGCAGCTGGTCTCCACCTTCAGGTACGCTCAATGGGGCCAGGGAAGCCGTGGCCACAGCCCGATCCCTCAGCGCTGCCGGCCCTCCGACGCCCTACGGCTGGGGCTGGCCTCCAGGCCTAACCGCCAGGGCGAGGCTGGGGAGGATCCCAGCCGTTCTCAGCTCCGACCGTCGTCTTATCTGGCCCGGGAGATGCGCTTCGGCGGGCAGCGTTGGGGCAGCCCGCAGCTCAGCACCGAGTGCGAAGGGCAGCGTTTCCCCTCTCTGAACAAAAGGTTCAGTGTTTTCCTCAAGGGTTGGGGGGCTGGCTTGCACCTTTTTTTCTGTCTTCCTCGGGTCCCCTTCTGGTTCCGGGGAATCAGCCCCAGCCGGTGGCCTCCCAACGAATGGAGCCTGAGTCCTGCCCTGTATCGCAGCGCCCAATCTCGGAATACAGGCTGCTGGGCAAGTAGAGACTCCCGAAGGGTGCGTTCCAGGAGAGGGGCTTGCAGGAAGGAGAGAGGGGCCACCATTCCCTGCCCCCACTGCACCACTGTCGGGGTCTCTAAGCTGGCCAGCACTCACAAGCACTCGCACTCGCGCTTTGGGACTGGATCTCCCAGAACCCGAAGCGGTGCTCAGCCGCTGTCCTCCCCACCTGCTCCCTCCCAGAGTTGCCAGGCCTGCTCCCCAGCGCCTGGTAAGGCTGAGAACTGACCTGCACCGGCCACCCGACTCTCCACCCCGTGAAGCTGACCACAGTCTTCTGGCCCCCGAGTCCGTCCCAAAGCTACCCAACGTGACAGTGTTGCCCAACCCCTGCTGGCTTGCCCCTCTCGGGCCCCTCAAAGTCCCAAGCAGATACTAGACTGGGGTTGAGTTCAGACTCAAGAGCCACCCTTGCAGGCTCTGGCAAGGGAACTCAGGGGAGGGAGGGGGCTTGAGGAAGAGTGCCATTGTTGAATGGATAGAGGGGAGGGAGGGAGGAAGGAAGGAAGGAAGGAAGGGAGGAAGGAAGGAAGGGAGGGAGGGAAGGAGGGAGGGAGGGAGGGAGGGAAGGAGGGAGGGAGGGAGAAAGGGAGGAAGGGAGGGAGAAAGGAAGGGAGGGAGGGAGGAAGGAAGGAAGGAAACAGAGGGATTCCCTGCCTTTTTGATTAAACGTTCCAGGTCGGGCCTGCCCAGTTAACGAGACCGTTAATTAAGCCATGCGCAATTCAACTGACAGGAAGGCCCCGCACCCCGCAGAGATGTTCTGGAAACCAAGCAGTCCAAGGCAGAGCGTTAGGGGCACACCGGCCTCATCGCCCCTGTCCTCCAGGGTTCCGCCTATGTCCCGGCACTCTTGGGGACGCCCAGGCCCAGATACTGTCCCTGCCTGGACTCGGGGCTGCCCCCAGGTGGCCACCCCCTGGGGCTCCCGAAAGGCTCGTCCACCCCCACATTCTGCATCCCTGTGCGGATATCCAGGCCTGCGCCGGAGCCCTGACCTACTCATCGCACTCCACCAGCGTCCACCCGGGCCAGCCAGGGCGCACACGTTCCGGGCGTCCTCGGGCAAACTCGAACTCCCGAGGATAGAGGTTGGAGACCCGGCCGGCCAGCTCGGCTCTCTGGGTCTCTCCGGAGCGCCAAACCAGGCGCTCTTCTCAGGCCTCCGGGCGTCAGGGCCCAGCCTCCACGCCCGCTCTTACTCGGGGGCCGATTGCGCGCAGCGGCGGGCAGAGCGAAGCGGCGCGGCGGGACGCTGAGTGTGTGTGCGCGGCGCGGCCTATATTTACACCCCAAACAAAATAATTACACTTTTGTCGGAGGGAGAAAGCCAGTGATTAGGCGCGGGCTCTTTGCGGCAAAACAGTTTCTCAGTGGTACACCAGTATAATTTTTCACGGCTGGCTGAAATCAAAGAGGGGAAGTAATGAATCCGGCGAGCAATTTAAATTTACAATTTGTAACGCCGCCGCCGCCGCGCAGACCCGGCCGAGAGCGCAGCTCTGAGGCGCTCGCTGCGTTTGTTTAATGTTAAAGCCCGCGCCGGCTCTTGGGGGCGGGGTGGGGGGGGGTGGATGCGGAGAATGCGTTTGGCTGGGGGGGGGTTGGGGGGGAGGTAATGAACGAAGTCGCGAGCGGACCGGCAGCGCCGCCCAAGATGCCGCGCGGAGAAGCCAACGAAGGGCGCACCCCTCGGGTTCCCTCAGAGCGCGCGTCCCCCAAGAAAGCAAGCCGCTCCGGACCACTCAAGGGGAGGGGATGCCTTCGGAGGAGCGAAAGGAGATATTCCGGCCGCCACAAAAGCTCCAGGTTCCCGCTGGCCGGCAGAACCACCCACCCGCCCCACCCCAGGCAAGAGAGCTTCCAGGGAGTTAGGGAGGCGCGACTGAAAATTCTCCTTAGCCTGCGGGGAGGCCAGCTCCAAATTCGCGAAGAGTCCCCATTCCGGCCGCCGCCCCGAGTCCCCGGCTGGAGAAGACAAGGAAGAAGCACCCCAAGCCCCAGCTCAGCGCGCCTCCAAACTCCCACCCCGGGCGGGTGTGTGCCTCTTCGCCGGTAATTAATTACCGAACTCAAGGGGGAATATGCAAACCGCATATTACTAACTCTACAGGGCTTAAGTGATTGGAAACAGATTATAATCTTGCTTGTCTTTTGTCTGTTTTACTTATCCCGCCGCCGTCTGTCGAGTTGTAATGTTGATACTCTTTAGTCTAGGAGGAAGATTTTTATATAGTAAATTCCATCAACATCTTGTATAAGTGACACTGCGTCTCCATGCATTACCCTGTTAAGACACAAGCGGTTTATTAGTTACATATAGGAGCGGATTTCGCTGCCTGGTCGCCATCTGTTAGCGCTGTTAGGGCGGGATAATTCGTCTAATAGTTGGTCTGCCGGCGTTTTTCGGATGCTGTGCTCCCTGGAAGGTGGAAGGCTGGTAAAGGCCAAGCAGGCTTTCCTGCGGTGGGGCTGGGGCATGGAGGTTCTGGACTGGGGCTGGGCTGGGCTGAGGCCCCCAGGGTGACTTCAGCGGGGGGGGGCTCTATCCTGCACGGGATGGGTAAACCCAGCTACAGGAGGCAGAGGCCAGAGCAGGGCTTCTGGAAGCAGAGCTCTCTTCTCCTGCAAACGGGCACTCGGCCCCTCGTGACTCACCACATCCAGGCTCCGGAAGACTCAGAACTGCTCTCTGAGACCGTCCCCGATTCCTGCTACCTCCCCAGCCTGCTATCACAGCTGCTGGGGCCTGGCTGTGCACTGGCATTTAAGCACATCCAGGAGGTGAGGGCAGGTGGGTCTGTCCCAGATGGAACCCAGCACACAGCACCCAGCAGCCGGCAGGGTTGGCAAATCCAGGGCTGGGAAGACACAGTAACCTGGCTCTCAAGGACCCAGTCGGGCAGGGGGAGGGGGGGGCGTTGGAGGACAGTGAGTTTGGGGTGCTTAGTCCAGAACAAGGCAGAAGGCTGTCAGATGGGGCTTTTAATGACTGTATGTGAGTCTCCCAGCACCCCAAGAGCTGTGCGGTGCGCGATGAGAATTGTTCACTGAAGCATTGAGCACGGTGCTGGATTTGGACGCCCAGCAGAGAAGAAGGGGGGAGAAAATAAAAACGGAGTGAAATCGAGAAAGTGATGGAGAAACAGAGATGAAGGGAAAACAGAAAGAGAGCAGAGGCTGAACATAAGAAAGAAAAGGAGACAGAAAGGAAAGCAGATGTGCAGGGAACGCGGGAGAGAGAAACCCCAGCAAAACAAAGGCGGGGTAGGCAACCCAGTTGGCCTCCACTCCCAGCCTGGCGCCTCTCTCCTCGTGCGTTCTTGGTCCTCCCGGACCCTGCCCCGCTGGAGGCTGGGGCCCCTCATGCCCGGGGAGGGCAAAGCCAGGCTGCCAGAAACTGTGGTTTTCGTTTGGGGCTCTGGGAGCTCTCCCAGCTGGGCCTAGGGGACCGGGCGAGCGCCGGTCCACTTGCTCCTGGCCGAGCCCGGCTCTAACCAGCCACGCTGCTACCTGGTGTGGACACCTGTCCCTGGGCAAGCCAGAGGCTGGAGTAACAGCACCATCAGGCAGAAGCTACCCGATTTGGGGACTTCTTTTCAGAGACCCAGCTGTGGGTCAGTGTCCCACCTGGCAACCAGCATCTGTCAATCTCCTGTCCCCAGCCAGATCGCCTCCCCTAGAGACTGGGGGACAGCGCTAAGCCTAGACAGGAACAGAGAGAAGTAAGCATCTCTGTGCCTCCACCAAATGCCCCAACACGGGCATCCAGAAATCCTGCCCTCATCAAATCCACAAAGGTAATACAAGGAGCACACACACAACAGGGCCCCCAAAGCCTACAGGAGTCACATAAACAAAAACAGGCCACACACACACACACACACACACACACACACACACACACAGTGACTGGCATACAAGCACAGACCCACAAAATTCTGCGCACACAACCTAGCTCAGTCACACACACACACACACATACACACACACACACACACGGCGTCTCAGGCACGCACACGTTCACCCACGCACAAACACACACCTCCAGGTTTTTTTAAGTCCACTTACACATCAATGTTAGTACACGCACACGATAATATCCACACACCCACTCACACGTGCAAACACCCTCCCGCTTGAGTGTCTGAAAGTCAGCCTACACACACACACACACACACACACGCACGCACACCCCGACAGAAACAAGACCACACAGACTAAAACACAGTGCAGAACTATTAACAAATGCAAACACACAGATTTGCACCAAAAAAGACACATGCCCAAATGTATTCACGGGATTAATGGCTAACTATAAATAGAGGCAAAAATGCAATTCTCAAACAGCAAACAGACACTAACAAACTCCGTAGATGAGCCAAACACACGTTCACAGCCAAGTCTTGGCACAAACACACTTCTCTGGCCCCAGCCCAGGGCCTACCTACCCGGTCGGCCAATGGCGACTTTCGGCGAGCAGGGCGGAAAAAATCCTGCGGAGGCTTCCCGGCCTTGGTGAGTCGGGTCGCCGGGTCGGCCCCTTGGGAAAGGTGGCCTGGCCTCTCCCCCCACCCCCCAGACCCACCCCTCCCTCTTCACACACACACACACCTGCAAGCGCCCCCCACACGCCCCAGACCCTGGCTCCCCCCCGAGCCGCTCTTCCTTCCCTTGACTTTGGACGCAACTTGTACACACAGCCCGCACGCGCCGCCAAGTACAAGCAGCGCCCACACAATCTCTAGCGTTCTGCCCCCACCCCTCGAGAGCGTGACCTACTCACCACGGTGCCCCGACTGGCTGAGCCGGGATCTGGAAGGTGCATCGAGGAGAGAAGAGACGTGGTGAACGCCACCTCTGAGCTGGCTTCAGAAAGACCCGTCCGCCCTGGGTCCTCTGCTCCCCACCTCTCCCCCAGAGACCCGTGGGCGGCGCGCTCAGGCCTGAAACGCCAGGGTCTCAGACCAGGCCAGATGACCCACTCCCCCTCCCCCCCGCCCCGCTCCACCTAGTTTTGGGGCCTGCGCGGGGAAAGATACCCAAACGGCGCGGCGCGGCTCGCGCTCCCGCTTGCTCTCTCGCTCGCACATTCGCGCTCTCTCTCTCGCTCTCTCTCTCTCTCTCTCTCGGTCTCTCGGTCCATGAGAAAGGCCGGGCAGGGCCCCAGCTCCGTGTGTGACAAAAGAAGCCGCCCGGCTCAGGGAGCCCCGTGAACCGCTCTGTCGCAGCTCCAGGGCGCAGACCCCAGGGACTCCGGGACGAGGGAGTCCAATCTGGGCGTGCTGGACTGGGAACGAGGAGGGGTGGACGCAGAGCGCGGTCCGGGCCTCGGGCAACTTCTGCAAGTTCCGGGGATGGCGAATGGGGCAGGGGTCCCTCTCGCGCCAGGCCTCGGAATCCTGGCCCCCAAATATTTATGAGAAGACAGAGGAAGGGAGATGCGGTTTTGAGATCGCGCGGCCCGCGCCCCCAGCCCCAAACTGGAAGGTAATACTTACTTAGCCTCCGAACCAGGTACAAGCTAATACTCAACAATACTGATGCCTTGTTTTTTTTGCTCTGTCCGGACCGCAACGCTGTAGCCAATTTAGATATGCTATAAATTTAAGAGGTTGCCATGGCCACCGCGCGCCCATTGGCCGCCGGGCCCCCTACGTGCCGCGCCACGTCACCAAATCTGAATAAGGATGCGCGAATTAGGCGGCGGCCAGACAAAGATGAGGATCGGGACGGCTTGAAAGTGGGGGAAAGTGCCGGCGCCTCCGCCACCGGGGAAAGCCGCTCCGCAGAGCCGAGGCCATTCGCCACCCGAGACACCTGGGGGAGCCGGGAGCCAGCACTGGGGCGCGCGGCCCGGGGCATGAGGCTGTGAAGGCCACCCCTCCCCACCCCACCCCCGGCAGCCCAGCGCCAGGCCGGCGATCATCCAAGGACTTGACCGGCTGAGTCTTGGTCCGGACCGGACTCGCCCGGCGGCGGCCGAGATAAGAGGCGGAGCGCAGCAGCGGGGCCCGGGGGCCCGAGGGCCGGGGGCCCAAAGGGAGGGCAGGGCGGCCCGAGCCGCCGGGGCGCTATGATGGTGCACTGTGCCGGCTGCGAACGGCCCATCCTCGACCGCTTTCTGCTGAACGTGCTGGACCGCGCGTGGCACATCAAATGCGTTCAGTGCTGCGAGTGCAAGACGAACCTCTCGGAGAAGTGCTTCTCGCGCGAGGGCAAGCTCTACTGCAAAAATGACTTCTTCAGGTAAGAGGCCGCACCGCCCTGCTGCCTGCGCGCCCGCCCTGCGCGCGCGCTCCTCTGGGGCGCCCGGGCGAGGGGAGACCGCCAAAGCAGCCTCCTTGGGCTCCCAGCCTTAAACGGGAGGCGGGGCAGCCCACTGCTCTCCTCCTGCCCTTGGTCCGGGAAGGCGCCGGAGCCCGAGCGGAGTCAGAAGAACGCTGCTTCGCTGTCTCTAGTTCGCTCCTCCAGCCCGGCCTGGAGCCGCGGTGGCGCAGGGCGGAGAAGCCCTGAGAAACTTGCTCGCCACTCATCTCTGCCCCTTCCCCGCAGCTGCGACCCCAGGGTGGAAGTTCAGGCCCGGTTCTGAGAGAGGAAGAATTTTTGCCTAAGTTAGGGACTGCTGGAGGCTTCTCCCGGCCGGCAGAGTGCGGGAGCCCAGGGGCTGACCTCCCGCAGGCCAGGGCCCCAGAGCCCTCCTGGACAAGCCGAAACTTCCCAACTCCGAGGGGACTCAGTCAGGAAGATCTCCTCTGATGACGGAGGGAGGGAACCTTCTCCTCCTTGCCCCCACCCCACCCCCAACTCCTTAAACATTTTCTCCCGCGTTGAAATGTCCAAACGAAATGGAAGCTGAGAATCAGGACCTCCAGGGTCCAGGCTGCGATGTGTCACCTCCCTTTGCCGCCCACGGATCACTTTTCTGGGCCTCAGTTTCCCCAGCTGGGAAATGCCAGGGGAGGACCTGAAAGGCTGTGGGGTTTTCGGCAGCTCAGCCCTGCCTGCTTCCGCCAGGCGCCCAGAGCCGGCTTTGTGCGTGCGAATTCCCGGGCACCAAGGGAAGGGGGGGTGTGATTAACACCGCGGAGAAAGGCTGTTCTCCGGCCCCAGCAGCCAGGCACCAGGGAATTTGAATGGGAGAGAATGTCAGCCTCCTCGGCTTTACACGTGTCAGCTCCCTGGCTCCGGAGGCCTGAGGCCCCTAATGTGGTGGTGCTTGCAAAGTGCCTAATGATTTTTGATAAGGTGCATATGGCCAATTACGCTGCCGGATAAGGCCAAAAGTGACTTATGGCTTCTAATGCCCTCACTACATCAACGTCACCCAAATTCGCCCTGTTTAGAGACGTGGGTATGAGTCGATGGGGGGCCCCAAAGTCCTGGGTCCTCACTCTCCCCGTCGACCCACACCTCCCCCCTCCCAGTGCTGGCCTGCACCACCCATTTTGGGGGGAGGCTGGCCTTCTCCAAGCGCTCAAGGAAGAAAGAAAAGGATTTAGATCAGGAACGCGGGAAAGGGGGGGGGGGTTGAGAGATCCTGTGTACTGGCCGTGCAGGTTGAGGATTGCCTTCTGGTTACATTCTCCCAGTTCCTGCCAGGGCCAGAGATTGGGGACAGGGAGGGGCGGGGGAGACCCGATCCCTGCTTTCCGGAGACCATCGCTCTGAGGCCCTGCTGTCCACAGGCTCCCAAGTGGGTCCCAGAGTGGTCCCGGACTGGAAGACCTCCAGCGCCGGTGGCACTGGGAGTCAGCTAAAGGTCCCTTCCTCCTTGCTCGGGTCCAGCTCCGAAGAGCTCCCCACCCCGTTGATAGGACCTGCCATCCGGGCCCGTCTGGCCTTACCCGGGCCCCAGCAGGCTGGAAAAGCATCCAGGAGGCAAAGGAAGAGGTGGTCCAAACCTGGCTTGCCGGGCTTAAAATGCCTCCTAACTTGGAGATCCAAGTTTGCCTCAGGAGAGCAGCCGGGGCGGATCTGGCAGGGACGGGGCTGGCATCTCGGGGTGCCCTGGCCTGTGTTTGGCTCAAGGCTCCGAGCCGGGTGGTGTGTGGATAAACCTGAACAAGGCACGCGACAGTCGCAGCCCCAAGAACAGCCCGGGACATTTGTCTCATCTCTCTTGCGCTAGTCGGACAGCATAGGATTGGGGTCTCGTTTGACAGATGTGGACGGGGCAGGGTGGGGGAGGGGGCTTCTGAGAAGCTAGGGCGCGCGGGAAGAGGTCAGGGGCTCGAGGGAATGGGACGCCGGGCTGCTCCAAGGTGACAGGCCACGTTGCGTCCCGCAGGCGCTTTGGCACTAAGTGTGCGGGCTGTGGGCAAGGCATCTCGCCCAGCGACCTGGTGCGCAAGGCCCGCGGCAAAGTGTTCCATCTCAACTGCTTCACCTGCATGGTGTGCAACAAGCAGCTGTCCACGGGCGAGGAGCTCTACGTCATTGACGAGAACAAGTTCGTGTGCAAGGATGACTACCTGAGCTCCTCCAGCCTCAGGGAGGGCAGCCTCAACTCAGGTAGGAGCCCTCCTCCCCTGCCCAGCCGGGGGGCCCTGAGACCCTGCGGCGCCACGGCCCGGCCCTCTCTACTTTGCGCCCCCCCCCCACCGCCACCACCCCCCCACCCCCCACCTCCCCGTGTGCGTTCTGTGCCAGGCTCGGCGCTCTCCGCTCCCACCAGGCATTTCTGGGGCAAATGGAAGGGGCGGGGAAGGGGGACAGCCTCTGGAGTCTGTCCCCACCGGATACGGACTCCCGGCTCTTTCCCCGCTCTCCTTCCCCGGAGGGACCTTTTCCAAGCTGCCCTCCTCCCCCAGTTTGGAACCACACGACTCCCCCCACTTTCCGAATCTTTTCAGCTCCTGGTAACTTCAGGCCGCTCTGGGAGGACGGTCAGTGGGGTCTGGAGGAAGGAGAGAGGGGAGAAGGCCTCTGTGGCCTCCTCCCGGTCCCCTCTCCTCGAAGGCCGGGCTCCCCCAGAGGGCGTGCCTGCCCCTCACCCAGGCCCTAGCCGAAAAGTGCTGGAGAGGGCTGGAGAAGGGTCTCTCCGAAGGCCGGCCCCGCCTGGAGGGAGTGGGCGGGCGCCGGGCCCCTGGGGGAGGGGCTGTCGCAAGGCTTGGGGAGGAACCCGACGCGGGTAGCTGCGCGCGGGGGTCGGCGGGAACCCGCTACCCGGTTGCAGAGACCTTGGGCCGCCGCTGACGCCGGGGTCCTCTTCCCGCTCTGTGCGCCCCGCAGTGTCATCCTGTACGGACCGCAGTTTGTCCCCGGACCTCCAGGACCCTCTCCAGGACGACCCCAAGGAGACGGACAACTCGACGTCGTCGGACAAGGAGACGGCCAACAACGAGAACGAGGAGCAGAACTCGGGCACGAAGCGGCGCGGCCCGCGCACCACCATCAAAGCCAAGCAGCTGGAGACGCTCAAGGCTGCCTTTGCCGCCACGCCCAAGCCCACGCGCCACATCCGCGAACAGTTGGCGCAGGAGACCGGCCTCAACATGCGCGTCATCCAGGTGCGGCTGGGCCCGGGTCGCCCTTTCCCAGCCCAGAGGAGCCCCGGAGCCAGGAGGCCCACGGGAGCCTCCCGCCCAGCCTCCTTGGCCAAGAGTGCGCCGAGTTGGGGTCTGCCGAAGGGCAGACTCTGTGCCCGAGGGCAGGGCCGGCTGGTCAAACTCCAACCGAAAGATTCTGCAAAGCCCCGCTGACCTCCTGACGGCGCGATCTGGGGCGGGTCACTTCACCCCTCGGAATCCCGCTCCCTCCCCGTTCAAGGAGTTTTAAGCCTCGCTGGGGTACCCCCTCCCTTCCTCTCCTATTTCCCAGCGGAGAAGAAGGCAAGGTTCTCCACGTGCCCTCTCCCTGCGCCGGTGCGCGGGCGGACAGACAAACGGCCAGAGCCCGGCTGGGGAGCCGAGGGGCCGGGACCAGGGCCGTGCAGGACGGGAGGCCTTTATAAAGCCGTCAGGCCGAGGGCGGGCCGAGGACCAGGAAGCCCAGGTCTTTATGAGTCGCCCCACGGGTCCGCGAAATCCTTCACCCTTGGCTGGTTCCCCGAAGCCCCTCTCCACCTCTCCTGGCCTAATCCGCCCGCCCCCGCCCCTGGGCAGTCTTGGTGAGGAGGCTATAGAACCCAGAAGGAGCGGCCTGGGCAGGAAGGAGAGGGCACCCCGGATCGGAGCTCACAATCCCTGCTCTGTCCCAGGTGTGGTTCCAGAACCGACGGTCCAAAGAACGCAGGATGAAACAACTGAGCGCGCTGGGCGCCCGGAGACACGCCTTCTTCCGGAGTCCGCGGCGCATGCGTCCGCTGGGCGGCCGCTTGGACGAGTCTGAGATGTTGGGGTCCACTCCGTACACCTACTACGGAGGTAAGGCCCCCCCCCCCACCTCGGAACGCGCTGCCCTACACCCAGGCCCGTGCCGTTCTGGGGGTTGAGGACGCAGGTCCGGATCCCGGGCGCCGTTGGCCGCCAGGGACGCCCTCCCCCCCTTCTACTCGCGCGGGACGTACATACACCATCACGAACACACCTTAACAGACGCACAGCAACGTAGGCGTGTGCACTCTCCTACTCCTGGACCCCAAATCAGACACCCATACAGCGACACACACAGATGAACACCCACGCACCCACGCAGGACTCATGGGTACACTCCCTTGCACACACACTGGAGTTCAGAGACCCCGTGGACACAAATCTAGACACATGATCCCACACAACAACACACAGGTGGGTGCCACTCTCCAGTTACATTCAATGACAAATATACCCAAAGAAACGCACAGGCTCACACACCCCCAAGCGTCATGCCAAGGCGAGCGCTGACAAATCCACCTGCCCCCTGCGCCAGCCGGACACTCAGCCTTCGTGCTGCCCTTGCCCCGTGGCCTGGTGTCCCTGGCCCCAGCGGGAACACAGGCACTGGAGGGCAGCGCAGGCGGTAGGGATGGAGGGGTCGGGATCCATCCATGACTGTGCTGTGCGCCCTGGGCGTCTGGAACTGTCAGCCAGGATGCCTGCCCGGCGCTCTGGGCAGGACTCTCGCGCACTCTCCAGCTCCAGGCACGCCAGTGGCCATTAGGGTTGGAGGTACAACAACTGGACCAACCCGGTTCCCCACTCCCGGTCTTTGGAGCTGCAGGGGGCCAGGAGCTGGACTTTGCAGAGAGAATTCTGCTGTTGCTGTTACCGGGTTCAAGGCCTGGGTGAACTCTCCTCCTGGTCACTCCTTTTCTTCCTTCCCTCCTCTTCTCCTTCCTCCCTAGTCTCCTCACCACCACCACCCCCCTCCATTTCCTTGGCATTTGCCTGGCGACCCATTCCAACCCCCCACTGCCCTCCCAACTCCCTCACCAAGGTTTTCTGAGACCCTCAGTGTGCTAGGGAATCCACTCCGGGTCCTGCACTTCCCCAACCTTTGGGCTCAAGGAAAACACCTCCTGCTTCCGTTTGTTTCTGAGCCTCTGAATTTGGAGAGCCCCCAGGAGTGCCGATGCCTCAGACACATCTCTGCTGAGTTGCTCAGTGCCACAGGCCTGTGGGGGGGCTGGTGTCCCAGATTGGGGAGAGGTGACTTTTCTTAGAAACGTGGGTTTGGAGGCAATGCCGAGGCCCGCGGGTGGGCGCCTGGCACGCGGGCCGACCCAGGAAGGAAGGCTTCCGCACATTGTGGGTCTAGGAGGTTAGATCTCACCTCCGGCCAGGGCCGCCAGAAATTGTGGGCATATAGGACGGCTGTGTTCTGGGGAGAGACTCTGCGGTGGCAGGGCCCTGACTGGGGGGCTGCAGACGCCCAGGACGGCTCGGATGGTGTCCCGGGGTCTTCAGTCACCAACTCTCTCTACCTATCTTTGCGTCCTTCGGCTCACGATCTCCGCCCGGCACAGGGAGATGGTGGGGCGGCGCCGTCCGGAATTTCTCCCCGCCTGGGTAATTAAGCGAGGTCTCCCCGAGGACTCGTGTGCCCCCACCGGTCCCGCTGCCTCCTCTCCCCGCGCGTCTGCTGGATGGGGCGGGGGCCTGGACACGCGGGCCCCTCTTTCTCCGGAATGGGGGGCAGGACCCCCGCCCCCCCCCCCCCAGCCCCAGGGAGGCAGCCCCGCCTAATCCGCGCTGGGAGATCCCGGCGGCGGCGGCGGCGGCCGGCAGCGGGCGAGAAAGGGGCTGGGCGGCGGGGCCGGCGGCTCCCCGTGGGAGCGCGGACAAAGCCCCAGCTGCGGCTTTTGTGCCCTTTTCAGACGGCGTTTGTTCCAATTACCTCCGGCCCGGCCGCCATATGGGCGGAGGCGGCGCGCTGCGCGCGGGGGCCGCGGCCCTGGCTGGCTTGCCGGCTCGCCCCGAGCCGCGGCCGGCCCCCATCCCCGTCCCTCAGGGGCCCCAAGTTCGCCGCTTCCAACCTTTCTCCTCGCTTTCGGGGAAAATGGAACGAGCGGTCTTTAAAAAGTTAATTGGCCAACGCTTTAGCTGTTGCCGAAACCGTCGACAAGCCGCGCGCCTCCGGGCACCCCCCCCCCCCCCCATTTGGACTGATTTCGGGATTTGGAGAGGGAAGGGAGCCGGCGGCAGGGGACGTCCCGAATTCGCCCCGGCGACGGAGACCCCCCAAGACGGAGTGCGAGGGTGGGGGGGGGGGCGTGCAGAGGAAACCCCGGCTTGGGGGCGTGGTGGTTTTCCCGCCGCACAAAGCGGGTTATTGTCACCGGTGGCCGCTACAAGGTGCTCCTTCCGTGGGGTCCCACACCTCAAACCTTCACGGGCGGAGGAGGGGAGGAGGCTGCCTGGAAAGACCCAAGCGAAGGGGTTCTGGAAGGAGGTGAGAGAGGTGATGCGGAAACAATTTTCTTGAGAACCGGGGGGGGGGGGGGGGGGGCTTGTCACCGGGAGCCCCTGCGCCCCCTGGTTTTGTGGGGGAAATGCGATGTGTGCATTTTTCTGGAGAAAGCCCATAGCTATCACCAGATCCTCAGAAGCACTCAGTGTCCCCAAATGTTTCCGAAGCTGGGTGTCCCGGCAAACCGCCCCCCGCCCCCCCGGGGGTGAGACTGAAGGCCCCAGCCTTCCCGCTGAAGTACCCACGAAGCGTTGGACGTCCCCAGGCAAATACCCTCCCTCCTTCAAGTTCCGGGCTTCTAGTGAGGCCGGCACAAATGGTGGGACCCCCACATTCACCCAGAAGGTCCAAGGGCTGTGTTTGAGGGGGCGAAGGACCGGCCAGGGCCGTGGGGTGCCGGGGGTTGTCAGAGTTCCGGTTGCCGGGTCCCCAGGCCAACTCCTCAGCCCTGCTCCGCTGCTCGGGCAGAGTCTCTCCCCAGAACCAGGTCCGGCTTCTTCCCCCACCCCCCCTCCCCACCCCCCAGGTCGCCGGCCCCTCTCAACCATTTGGTGCTCTGGTCTCTGGCCACCCCAGCATCCCCCACCCAGCTCTTCTCCCGTGTCTCTGACTCATCTGCCGGGTCTGTGGGCGCCTCTGTCTCTCCTGGCCTCCCCCGCCCCTCCCCGGCTCTTGATGGGTTTTTCACGGTGTATCTCTAACCAACGGTCCATCTCATCCCTTTCTCTGTGCTCATCCTAGACGAACGCCCTGGTCTCTGTCTCTGCCTTGGGCTTGGTGCCTCTGGGTCTCTTTTCCCACCTGAGTCTGGGGACTCCCTCCTGGTCCCCTCTTCGCCCCCCTGTCACACTGTTCACTGCCCATCTCCCAGTGACCCTGTCTCTGGCTATTTCCGTGTCTCCGGCTCTCGGTGGATCTCCTCACTTCAAAGGCACCGTCTCGGATGGTTCACTGGCTCTGTGTCCACTGTCTGTCTCTGTCTGTCGGGGAACCTCTGACTTTGAAGTCACGATATTTTTCTGTCTGTGCTTCTGGCTCTGGTCCTTGTGTCTCTCAGCCTGGGTCTCTGGGCCTTCGGGCAGCTCTCATGGTCTCTCTCGGGGACGCTTGTCCCGGGTG